TCTTTTGCCCTTCGTGATTTAACCCAAAAAATTCATATGTACGTAGGACCTCGTTTTTCTTGAAATTGATTGATCTTCGTTGATATTGTCAGCATTGTTATAATTAAAAAAAAAGAGAAGAAGAGACTCTTAACATTAAAGATTTGACTCCGATTATATTCCTTTAACCAAAATTATGTAAGCTCGTGACACTGTTAATAATAAATTAAATGTTCACGTTAAATGTATTTTACATTAATAAAGACGTTTAATGTAGTAAATATTCACAGTGACTGTGAATCGATGATAGGCGTATATAAATTTGAAATTATAAAATTAAATAATATCGAATTATGAAATCAAAATATGTTTTACAAATCTAATAATTTTGTATTATCTATTTTTGAATATATAAATATATAAATTGAATATGTTATGAAATATTATTACGATCAATGCCATTGTCGATAGAAATTATACATTTATTTATAAATTTCAATAGAATGAACTAATTTCTAATGGCCAACACTTGATAAATTGTATTCTAGCTAATTTATAATAAATTCTAAAACTAAATAAAAAATTTGTTCGTCCATTAACTTCGATAAATATTGGAAGCTTCTACTTTATTCATTTTATTCTTTTCCACTGAGCGTACAAAGATGCAGCTATTTCTCTTCTTCAAATATTGCGCACATATTCCTAAAAAAATTGCCATCTCCATTAAATTCAATAATTCTAATATAATTAAAGGATTATCTTTTATTTCTATAATAATTAATAAAAATTATTATTGGTGTGGTCTTAACAGTCGTATTAAACCAAATTTAATGTTAATTAAATTTCAATTATTTATTTACATAATTACTTTATTTATTTTTATTTCTTTATTAAAAGTATTATATATATATATATATATACACACATATATATTGTTATATGTATATAATATGAGTAAAAATCAATATTTGTTGTAACTTCTTGTATTAATGTAGCTTAATACATTTATAAAAAACATTTATGTAAATAGTTACTCTTATTATATATTTATACATTCGATTAATTATTAAGTATAAAAATCATCTTTACTAAAAAAGGAATGAAATGTAAATTTCATAAACAATATTTTATGGTTCATATCATTATGCGAATAATTTTTATAGATTACAAGGTATGCAAATGTATTCTAAGAAATATGATGAAATCATTTTAAATATTAATTAATACGTAAAGTTAATATATACTGTAAAAAAAAAAAAAATTACTGCAAAGCTGATGTACTATCAGTCATAATTTTTCAGGAATGTATATAGTTTAGAAGTGATTACTCGATACTCTTGATATATTCAATAGAAATCGTATAATAATAATGTGACGGACATTAAAAGTTTTTAAATTTATTTCACGTAACAAGGATTACAGATATAAAAAAAAAATTACTATGAAAGAAAATATAAAAGCGTAGAAAACTTCAATTAATAAAGTATAGAAACTAATTTTATATACAAGTTCGTTAAAAACATTGTTTGATGGTGCATTATCATAAAATGGAAATTGACTAAGCCATAATATTTTATGGTTATCTTAAAAAATGTATATTTAAAAATAGTTCTTAATAATTATAAAGTGATTATTATAGAATATGCAGATGTATATCAAAATAATTAAAAATACAATATAATATTGAAAATTTCTTATATTCGATATATATTATGCAATTAAAATTATTAATTTTGTGATTAATTTATATCATATAACAACATTAATTCTTATTTTTTCTTATTTACAATTGGTGTATAAATATTTAAATATTTATTCATAAATCTTGAAATCAATTTAACCTTTTTTTTTTTTTTTTTTTTTTTAGTATGTATCTTATAAACTAGATATTATAATTAAAAAAAAAACATTGTCTATATGGCATTAAAATAAATATATTAAACATGTTAAAATACATAAAAATTTGTTAAAATAAATGATTAAACATTTAAAAAATTTTATTGCAGTATATTTTAACTCTACATATTAATATAATTCATAATACACAATCTAAAAATAATATTAAAAATATAAAATACCACTAGCCGATAAAATATCTATCCTGTATAAAATATAATTTAATATATAAAATGTTTTTCTTATATAAAAATCTATGGGTATTATGTTATTCAAACAACCATAAAAGAGAAATACGTGCATTAATACACTATAGGAGTTTTTTGTAAGAAAATATATTTCACTGGAATTGTAAGTTTGAATTGTCTTTATTTGTTTGTTGTGGGAGAACGTTAAATGTTAAAAATACGGTATAATTGAAATTATAACTTCCGAAGGTAAATAGTTTAATTTTTAGAACATTTAAATAATTTTTTATAGATTATTGGTATTTGGATTTATATAGAATATAGAATACTTATTAATGTATGTAATATTTCCATCGATTTTTCTATACTACATATGTCAACATAATCATCCCTGATTTATTTCAACTTATGCTAGTTTCATGTACTATTGTTATTCTTTAATAATTGTTTTTATGAATGATGAATAATTCTTCATTATAAATGAAACAATACATTACCATTACTTTTTACTGAAAAAATTAAAAATGAAAACTCTCTATTGAATTAATTCATTGGATAAATTAAAATGATGCTTATCAAATATAAATTACTAATTCATAGTTCTATATTACTAGTTCATAGTTTTATATTTGGAAATAAATTTAAATGAAAAATATAAATTTAGATTTGTAATTTGTTTTAAATAACAAGTTCATTCATTTGTCGTTTATTATTTGGAATTTTTCGATAGCAAATGTAAAATATATTTTATATTAAAAAAAAAAAATTCTCGTAATAAAATGAACTTGTCGATACATTGTATGTTGTGAACAATTTTACTTAATATATATTAGTATGTTGATTAATTACAATTGTTATCAAATCTCGAAATTTAATCTAAAATAAGAGTGAGGGAGAAAGTGTGCAAGAGATAGATAAAGATGAAGGTTGAGAGAGGATGAGAGAGGGAGAGAGAGAGTATGCAACAAGAAATACGTTGACATTCAACAGTATTCTTGATATATGGTGTCAAAAGTTTTGTAAACACCATAAGTTTCGCCAATATAAATTTCATAATAATTATATTGAAATAATATCATAATAAAATTGAGTCATACGCATCATGTCATATTATTTGTTTTCTATTTTTTCTACTAATAAATAGCTTGAATTTTTCATATTTTTCATGATTATTTCATATTACTCTCGATTAATTACATTGTTTTTCGTTTGACAAAATTCTGACGGATAAGATAATCGAAATTGCAATAAAAATTGCCTGATCGATACTTGTCTATACATAAAGTGCATGAGATTACAAAAACCTCAAATAAACGTAGTAGTTAGATGAGGTCTTGTAATAAATTGTTAATACAACATGGAGTAAGCTGGACCAACGGGTATTTCCATTGACAATTCAAGTCATCAAGATATATAACAGAGCAATATGTTCAAAGTAATAGCAACATAAAATGCTGAAGTTAAATATATGTTCAATTTCTTTTTTTCATTATTTTATCATTTTTATTTTTATATGTTGATCTGAGAGTTTTACGCGTATATTTATGTGTGTACACACATTAATACAATACATGTGTGTGCGCGCGCGTGTGTGCGTGTGTGTGTGTGGGAGAGAGAGAGAGAGAGAGAGAGAGAGAGAGAGAGAGATTAGTATGCAGGAAGATAAAAGTGATATTCTTTTCAATGTGAGTGATCGCACGATATTTCAAGAAACTACTCCAAGGTCTGAATTTATTTAGTGATAGCAGTTATGAGAATTAGCACATTGTATTTGAGATCCTTTCAATTAATGAGCTTTTTTGTGCTTTATACTTTTATATATGTAAAATTAATTTCCATAACTTATGAAAACATTTTCTACAACTGCATATGCACATATTAAAGTAATAGATATGAAGATTTATTACGCGACTCGGTACATTAATCGTTTAGCAATAAATAAATCTAATAATTTGCAAGTCTCATTTTTACAATTTCATACAACGTTTATTTGTTATCTATTATTTATTTGTATATATATATATATATATATATATGTATATATATATATATATATATATACAGTATTTCAAATTTATTGACGTATAATTTTGAAAATACATATTTTAAGAATTAAAAACGTATAGTCGTCATATTTTTAGAAAAATCCTTTCTTTCTCAACAGTACCGTTAAAATTTTTATATTATTTATACATCTCGTTATACGAATAGAACTAATCCGTGGATTTATTCAAATTTTCATATTATTATTATTGTATGTATCATTAAAAAGCTAAGAAATATTTTAAAAATAATGACGTATTTATTTCAAATTAATTCACGATTTATTCCGATTATTATTCATAGTGTATTAATGTATAATATGATCAAAGCAAATAATTCGATTGAGATATATTTCTTATTGGTTGTAATAAAATTAAAATCTTAATAACTATGCTTTCACACTAATACAAATATTTACAAATTACAAAGCATTTTTATATAATCAGCAGTCGATATATACGCTATAATATTCATGTATATAGAGACTTTTGTTAAACGATCACCGAACATTTAATTCACAGATCATTTAATAACGTGTCCAATTAAAGTATACGTATGCAAGGAAAGCAAGTACAATAAATAAGTAAAATTTCTTCCTAACGGATTGCAATATCATATTAATATTCAAGTGTTTAAGTATCGAGTGCCGTATTCTATGAGTGATTTCATTAATTATTTCTCAACTACTTATTCTTTTATTTATTTCTATGTATATTAATTTATTTATATAATACTTTCATTAACCGCTGAAATGCACTTTCTTAATGAACAAAAAATTCATAATCAATTATTTAAAAAGATTACTTAAGATGAAAATATATAATAAAAATTTCGCGTCTCATAAATATTCTTATCGTAAATAATGTTGAAAAAATGTAGTATTAGTGTAGTGACCTTGAAAACCTCCCAGGTAGCGCTGAAGGGCAAGACAGCGACTCCGACCATAAGATCGGCAACAGCCAAGCTAACGATGAACATGTTGGTAACGTTTCTTAATTTAATGCTGTTGTAAACAGCGGCTATAACGAGGACATTGCCCAGGACAACCATTACGTTGACCACCGCGAGAACAGCCAGGGTCACGACGATCCCCGGTCCCGACCACTCCACGGCCGTATACAACGCGTTGCATGCGCTCTCGTTCAGCTTCCGCATCTTACGAGGCCAACAGCGTCCTCCGACTAGTCCCTCGGCTCGCTGCTGGCGATGTGCAGCCGCCTCATTTCCGGCTAGATTATCCTGAAAGAGTGAGCAACCACCTCGAGCGGCCGAGTGACTTTCGATTGTTTATGCGCCGGATCGAATCGAGCACTCGCGCGCGCACTTACACGAGCAC